TCTAGGCCATCACAGCCTCAAGCAGCCCTGGAGTGCAGGAACCAAAGAAACCTCTGAAAGGTCACCAAGCTGATCCCTGCATTGTCGTGAGCTTGTTTTAACTTCCTGCAGCCATCCCCAGAGTTGCGTGGCGAGACCGCTTTTGAACGATCCCAAGAGCAAAAACTGCATGTCGCTTTCATTCCTAGTGAACACTTTATTTCCCCTCAGATTTTTTTTTAAGTCTCTCTACTGCTTTGTGCTTTATTTTTAAGCGAGCGATGAAGACACTGAGCCCACCCTCTTTAAGCATCCCTTAGGTAGAAGGATAAACTGAATACTTATTACTGGGGGCCTTTACCATTTACAACTATTGCCTTTTCATACCCATTTCATTTCAACTAAACGAGTTTAAACCACTTGAGAAGAATAACAAGAGTCACTAACTACACATTTAGAACTAAATTTGTGTTCGTAATAGCATACCACCCACAGCTGCAGAACTGCTCTTCCTTCCGTGTCGAGACCATGAAACCAGATCTTACTGCTGAAAGGTCTGCTTCGATACCTGTTCAACCACAGTATCAAAACATTGCAACCGGGGGAGAAACAGATCACAAATAAGTTTAACGTCAACTTTTTCCTACTTTAGAAAAGCAGCACAAAGCTGTCACCCGCAACCAAGCTTTGCTCCTCTGCAAGGTCACAGTTCACTAGTCTCGTAGCAAAACAAGACTGTGATTACCCCAACTTGAAATACACATATGCAGAAAGGGGAAGATCTTTTGTTATTACCTTTTTATTCTCTGAACTTCACAAACGTGAATGCTGACAAGCTGTAACTAATGCTGGGCTATTTGATCTTCCTCTAACCAAACAAACAAAACTGCAGCTCAAGCAGCAGAAGGTTGTTTTCTAAACGAGACATTAGTAGTGCAGATTGCTTAAAAGCAGCAAGGAGTGGTTCTTTTTTCCCCTATGCCTAGAAATGGTGTGTCAATGTATACTTCCTAAAGATTTAGTCAAATAATTAGTCAATAGCCATTTCAAAGAAAAGGGGGCAGAATCATCTGCAAACAAAGAGAAACAAAATGGGAATATAATGGCACGACTTAATTACTAACGTCAGGTTTTCATGGTCACTCTTCCAGCTCTGCCTCATGCATCAAAAATGGCAAAAGTGACCTTAGTAGAGACAGTTGGAAGCATATTAAGATACCAATAAAAGGGAAATATAATTCCAAAACTGGGAAAGAAAAATTGCAGTAGGAGAAGAAGTTAAAAAGACCAAGAACATCCCATAACACCCAGGGAGAGGGTCAATGCACTTTCAGTCCTATTATACGCTGAAAATCTTTGCATAGGACTAGTAAGGCTTATGCTGCACTTCAGCTGAGAGGCATCACCTAGATGGCATTTCTTCCAGAACTTCTAACCTTCACAGCCACAATTCTGCATTATTTCTACAAATATTACAAGTTTCATCTGCAAAGATCCTAGCACAATGTCGTAAGCAATAATTATCAAAGCCATTTACTATTAGATATATTGAATTAAGACAGCAGCACTGACTGGTGAGAACACTGTCAGACGTACACATCCCAGCCTGCCCTCAGATACGGCTAGAACATGCCACATGTGAGGTAACAGATAAAATATACAAATATTTGTGGATTTGATTTTCCAAAAACAATGCTTATGATGCTTTACTTTTCCAGTTCATTTTCTTTCTCCCTCACTGCTGTTGCCTTCATTTTAAACCTCTACCTTAGCATGTCACAGAAGCAGGGAAGCGGGTTAGCTAACAGTACTTTTTCTACTCTTTGATCCTTTTCTTTGCACCAGAGTTGATTAAATCTCAACTCAGAATGTTAAATATGGAGAGCATGCTACTGCTCACATACACTCACAGGAGAAAAAAGTTCTTATAGTTCCCTAGAACTATAAATACAGGATAATATTCAACAGAAAACACTTCTATTTCTGCATATATATGTTCCGGTTTTCACATCCGAGTTGGCAACCAGTCAAATTACCTTTTGCAATTACCCATCAAAGACTTCTCCTCTTGGGGTACTTACAGGCTATAATCTTGAAACCTAACAACCTTATTATTATTACTACCATTATTATTGTTTGTGGTTGTGCCTCATTTTCTAGGCAGCTGTTGCACTGCACACTTTCTGGCAGTGTTAAGTTCCTATCAACTCTATGATTTAACTTCAGAGTAAAGTTACACTACCTCAGAAAATAAGAAACAGATACATGTATATAGCTGAGTGATACCAGAGGGGAGAATTGCAGAATTATGCTTATTAGTTGCTTAAAAATACACAAGATAAACCAACATTTCAGCACCCCTAGTAATTCTTAGATGAGAGTGCTCAAGAGAGGGCTAGGACTTCTTTCCCTGCACTTTCTTTGCCAGCTTTATTTGTTCATGTATTTAGTCATCCTAATTTATTTTCTTCCTCCAAGGCAAGGAAATCTAGGCAGAACTCATTCATAAGCAGATTACACGGTTGTCAAGAAGAAAATTCAGATCTCCTGCTTCCCAGGTAACATGTTAGCCAAAAGATATCCTCTCTGAATTCACACAACATTAGCATTGCTCAAAAGCAGGCTGCACAGCACTACAGTGCTGGAGTTAACTGGAGCAAATCACAAGGACAAGAGCTTGTCATGAGAGCGTTTGTTCTCCAGGCAGCTTTTGAGCTGTCTATGACGGAGCTTCCTCACTGTTCTTTTGGTTGCTGTTGTTTGTTTTTCTTTGCAGTCCAACTGAATATACATGAAGGCTACTTACATGTG